TAATTGAAAATTTATTATTTACATCTATTATATGCAATTTTTTTTTAACAATACCTCGCACAGTGCGGGTGTAGTTCCAAAATTCCGCACTGTACGAAATCGGACTAATCAAGGACTTTAAAACTATAATAAAAAAAGCACAAAGAATTTTTGTATTAATTTATGTATTGTTTTGAAATTATCAAACCGGACTATATTGAATCCGGACTGATCGAAGTATTGCTGTAATTTGTGCATTTACTCATCATTTTTTTTTTTAGTAATTAGAAAAATATTTATTTGATTGTTGTAAAATAGATAGATAGAAAAAAAGTCAAAACTAATGTCAGAAAATTGTTGATTCATTGCTAATAACAAGTATAAATTTGAATGGATGAAATGCAAATAGTTAAAAAACAATTCAAAATGTTTAAATGAACCCACGTTTTCGTTGATAAATAAGCGATTATATACTCTATTTTCTTATATGCGTTATATAAAAATAACAATCATTATGTTTGATTTGCGAAACGTGCCAATGACTAGCAAATAATATGCATATTCTGTTAATGGGAACCATTACTTAATGTATCCAATATACGCGCATGTTTCCCACAGAGCGCATTCATAATTCCACGCCGATTCAATCAAACGCATGCAAATTACCCATTGAACGTTATTTCCTTCCCAATTCATTAATTTTTTTTTCCAAACAAATAAAAATCATAAAGGATTTCTATTTGGAATTATTGTTTTTCCATGGGTTTCTCGGAATGCAAAATCTGATTACACAAGAAACCTAATCGCAAGTCCTAAAGCGTAATAAATAACACGATTAACATCTCGCCTTTTATCTATCAGTTAATGGCAACAAATTAGTTCTTTTGGGGTGGAGGTAATTCTTCGTTTTATCTTGCGTAATTGCCTCAATGAGGTGTCTCCCTTGGTTACATTCGGTGCCATTCTTGTCCTTCGTGCAAAATCTGATCACGTCGAGACTTGTCCAAGGAAGATCGTGACTCACACTTCGACCGTGCAGCTGCGAATCCCGAAGAAAGAAGCAAAAAAAAGTAAATAATGTTAAGATAATGGACGAAACGTGAAGATCGTCATATATATACACACACAGACATAAATGTATTATTTTTTTCTTGTTTTAATTAATTACCATAAAACGCATCGTTGCCTAGCGTCCAGTTTCATGAAATTAACCGAGGGAAGATTTAATGGTGTGCTTATTCTTTCGATACGTGCATTTTCCTCGTTTTTTATTATTATTAGCCTTCTACTCTTTCTTATGTTCCACGTGTGTACATGTAAGCTCTCCTCTTTCTTCATCTTTTTTTTTATTATTATTATTATTATCCCTTCGCGTTTGCTACGTGATTATGATAATGAGGCAATCTTCGTCCCCCTCGAAATAAAAAAAAAACTACGTCGCACTGAAGAACATGTAACTTTATAGTCGAAGAACAGGTCCAGACAGGTCTTCCTGATGATGCGTGGGACCGCTCGAGGGGAGAGTGAAATTACACGTATAGGAATCAGAGGGGAGAAGCGGAACAACAACATCAACCCCCTGGTTACGTAACACTTGCCGCGCCTCTTCGGATCTTGCTCTACTGTTATTACCACGTACCACTTTTTTTGTTTGTTGATGCTTTTTCTTGTTGTTGTTGCTCACCAAACTTAGGTTTTCAAGATCATAATTATAATTACCCGCAACCCTATAGACCTGTTGGATCTCAAAATGTAGTCGAATATAAAGTGTAGACCACCTATCAATACCAATCTAATCCGAAAAGTGAAAACTTTAATTAAGTCGAAGTATATACACTGAGGTTTTCAATTTTTGTAAAGGAATTAATTTAGAAACGATTAACGTGGCCGATTTATTAGTTTGTGCCGGAGGTAGAAGGAAAGCAATTAAGTGATTCATGGTTGCATGGAAATCAAAAGGAAAAGAAGCCGACGCACCAGCGTTACGTAATGATTCTCTCTCTTTCTCGGCCCGTAGATTTTCCTCTATGACTTGAGTCATCGAAAAAATGAGTCACGCACACCTGAAAGATCCTCTCATCGTGGTGAGGGCTGGAATCTAAGATGACTAATTGCGCTCTAAAGTTCATAATTTTGCAAGTACTTAAGAACCCCTCGTTTGATTGATAGACCACGGACTGAACAAGTACATAACATTACATAACATACAATCCATTTACTTTACATCCTTTTAAACAGATTGATTGAATTTATGTTTTGGCGCCAAAAAACTTTTTTTTTCTCTAAAGTTAATTTACAAGTATTTATCAGACTATTGAAAATCTCATAAGAAAACTGGTAGAAAAATTCAAAGAAGTTACCCATTGTGATCAATTGCATAAAAGCTATTGTGTAAAAAAGTACTTTGAAACATGCTACAGGTCCAAACTTGTTGCGTAACTGAAATTGCTCCAATTACTCAACAATGGATTCTAGTTTAAAAACTATGACATTCCAATGTAATAATTTATATTAAAAAGTTCAATAAGTATTTCAACAAATTATTATTAATAAATTTTAAAATCATAATTATTATACATAAAAAACTTAAAGATTAGAAGATTAAAAAACGAAAAAATTGTAGAAATATTATTTTTATTTTTACAATTTTTTAAATGAAGTATATTGACAACATAAATTGCATAGTAAAAGTCGTAGTAAATTGAAAAGAAGTAATCTATTGTGGGTGTTAAAGGCTTTTGTTAAAAAAAAACTGTGTGAACCATTTCAGGTCTGAACTTGTTGGTTGCAAAAACTAGTTCATTTTTTTCAGCAACTCTGATTTAGTAATATAAAAACCTAATTTTAATATACGTAAAGTTATATTTTATCCACGTTTATCAATTACTTTTTTTAGTCATTTTAAGTTAACATACAATTTTTTTTATTTTTTGTTAATGCTTAATTATTTTGTTTAAATAAAAATAACCAATAATAAAACGTGTAATAGTTAATTTATTCTTATTGGTTTCAGAAATCAAATAAAAAAACTAGTAGAAAATAGTGAAATTGGAAGTTATTGTGAGGAGTTACATAATAGCCTTTTGTAAAAAAATGCTCTGTGATACAACTCAGGTTCAGACTTGTTGGCTGCCTGAAGTGGTTCGAATTTCGGAAACCGAAGAATTTAAAAAAAAACAGATATTTAAATATATGAAGATTCGGCTATTATTATGTAACGTTAAAAAAATTAATTATTTTAAGTATGATTTTAAGTTATATTATACTATTGATATCCATTGATGTAAATTATTAAGTAACTTAATTAATTGTTATGGAAATACTCAACTTATTTATCGAGTTAATATGATGTACTCTGTGAATTGACAGGAATAGTAACTTCAATGTTATATAATTGTCTAATAGTTGTATTAACATGAAAATACAGTTTGTAACTAAATTGCAACAATTATATGATGTTCATTAATTAATATAAGATAATTGTGTCATATTGTTAATTGCAATTACCTAGTTATAATTAGCAAATATAATATTTATTGAAAACTTTTTGGATTGGATAATAGTTAGTATAACTACTTATAAACAGAGTTCAAATTGGGTAAAGCTTGAAATATCAGATGTAATCATAAAGTGTAATGAGTATGAAATGCATAAGTATCATAGGACTATGTATTATATGCGAATGATGTAAGAAAATTGGGTTGAGTTTTAAACGTCAGTTAATTTGATGCTATCAAATTGAGTGATGTTTGTGTATATTGAAATGGAAACTGTTGTGGATTGAATAACAAGATTTGTAGACGTCGATCGAGTTAACGCTGAATGTTATAGTACTGGTATAACTTTGATATGATTGCACAAGATTTGCAATTGACGAAAGAAAAGTGGGTTAAGTTCCAAAAAAAAATTAGTTGCTGAGATGGAATCGGGATGAATAATGATAATCCTATGTTTGAAATGAATAATGATGATGCAATGTTGAAATGTTATGTTGGTTAGTGGTAGATTTGTAGGAAATCAAAATAAAAACGCGGCAGTGGCATTAAGGAAGGGCTTTATCATCGTCGTCCATCTAATTGGATTGTTTTACATAAGTTATTTGGATCGCTATCTGGAATCTAATCGGCGCACGGATCGTCCGATGAATAATTTATTTGGTTCCGAAAATAATAAATATACTTGAGCTCGTTTCACTGCTGCAGCAGGATGAAGAAGAAGAAAGAGGAGAAGGAGGTGAAGAAGAAGAAGAAGGTATGCGATGAGAGTTCGCGAATGTTGCACCTGCCGAGACGCGGTTTTGGCAACGTAAATGTGACTAAAAAGGTCAGTGATGGACGTTTAAAGCGCGAAAGAGTCTCGGGATTTAAATGGTTCCGAAATGATAATGGATGTTATTCCGAAGGGATTGCGAAAAAGAGTATTTGCGTGTTTTTCTATGTTCCGAGTTTTCAATGCTTGTGGAGGAATAGCGTAAGAAAGGTTATGGTGAAAGGTTTATGCAAAAACCCCTTTTGTGGACCTGTTGGAATTTACCGTAGGATAATTAGAATGGGATTGTAGCTGGGGTTGAATGTGGGTAGTTTGGATGTAGGTAGTTCGGACTTTGGTGGTAAGTGTATCGGTAAAAAGGGTCATGTATGTAAAGGAGGAATAGAATAGTAAAAGGATATGGGGGAGTAAACACCTATGCGGATTCTACGAGCAGAAAAATCTATATAACACCCCTACGCTTGCCATCTGCTTTTGTGTTCCATGGGAACTCGCGAGATTCCCAAGTTCCCACGTTTAACCCTCGGTTTTTAAGTGAAGCACATGGTGCGTCTCTCTCGCACCGAAGAGAACGCCGTATGCGGGCGTTTCACTTGACCAAAAAATGCACACCTGCCCCTACGAAGCGCTCTCATAGGTCCCTCGCTCGGCCGAATACTTTCCCCTACCCTACACCCTAAGGGTTCGTGACGTCACGCATCGAGTATAAAAAGGCGGCGGAAAGCAGGGAAGTTATCATTCGCCTTCGTGCTTATTCAGAGTTAACATCTCCTTCTCTACTTCTTCTACTACTACCACCAAACAACCAACCTCATTCACCATGAGTTCATACAACGATTACATTGTCGCCTCCAACAACAGCGTCAACGAGAACTACGTGAACGCCAAGAAAGCGCGCTCCACCAAGTACCAGATCAAGCAACTACTCAAGCCAATCATCTCCATCATCAAGAAGGACAAGAAGAACACCTACAAGAAATCACCGCAACCGGAATACTTCGACGATTGCGAAATCGAAAACAACCTGGCCAACGAGATGCTCGAATCAAGGATCATGGAAGAGATCGACTCTTGCGATGAGTTCTCAGCCGTTCCTATCTACGACAGCAACGGTTCCATGGACGTCATCCCAGTGCACCGCGGCCAGAAATACATTCCGGTCCACTTCGCCAAAACCGAAGCTGGTACCTTCTTCTGGACCTCCGTCTCTGGCGCCGACTCCGACATCTCCTGCCATGGCGACAAGAACGCGATCACCGGAAACCAAACTCCGGAAATGCAGGTTCCCTGCGATCGTTGGGCTCAAGCTTAAATACCAACAAAAACCATAAGCCTGCCTCAACCTGGAAATCTGTGATCGATTCTTGCTCAATTGTTTTAAAAAATTATATTGTGATACTAGCGTTAGGGAATTACTATTAATTGTATTATGTGATTGACATGCTTTAATTTTGTCTTCCATTTAATTTTAAGACTGATACTTATTAAATAAATAACTATTATTTTTGAACATTACATATTATCTTTCTTTTCTGAATACACAACACGCAACAAAAAGAAAAAATATTCTCCCACACATACAAAAGCCCCATGTCCACTCTACCTGTCCGCTTTAATACAAAAAGGAGGAAAAGAAACCCATTGTCCATTTTTGGGCAGGTAAAGGATCCAGAGGTCCGGATAAACCTTGGACATCTCTCAATGTCCGCACAGTCACAGTTTAATTCGGGCGATCCTGCATCTACCTGCTCCGTTCCTACTAAAAGCCAAAGTGCTTTCAAGATTCTCTCCCCTTTCCTTTGTATCGCATCCCATACAAAGAGAGCATACATAAATATTTCAAAACTTTTTCCATAATTATTGCCAATCTTAATTCGCATCACTATCAATTTACCATCACCACTAAATAAGGTATTCTTAATTGGAAATGTCACTAAGCAAACTTAACAACATCCCATCACTCACCCAAATAGCTAACCATTTCTTAAATTCATTTCTTGTTTTCACATCAAATTTTAATAACCTTTTATTTTCTTTCCTCAATAGAATAAAATTATTATATAATAAAAACTACTATCAATTTTCTCAAAAAGCCAATATTAATAATAAATTTAAGACATGAAGATTTTTTTCCATAAAAATCAAGAAGAATCTCCAATAGACTTGAAAGATTTATACGTCGTTCCAGATTAAAATTTAATCTAAGGACAAATATTTTGAAAAACTTGTTCTCTAAAGGCACAAAACCACAATCGTCCCGGAAACCTCCGATGTATTTGGACTATCCTATCTTATCTTCGGAACGTTACTCTTCGTAAAATTATCAACAAGATAGGATAACGGGTCAAGATTCTTCCGTCTGCACTTATCTAAATCAATAGAAGTAGGAACAAATGTTATTCGAAGGAAACAAATGGATACTTGGAAACTGGGAATTCCCAGCCAAATCCTTTAATTACGGGTCATTACAACCATAAATAAAACTCTCAAACTTTTATATACTTCGAAAAAAAAAACCCTTAATTCTTTTTATTGAAGTACTTGAGTATTTGAAGTACTTTTAAAACCTCATTAGTGTAGATTTCTATATAAAAAGAAAACAGTAATTTTGGAAAAAAGAGAAATTCTATTTATTGGAAAGTTTTTTATTGAATATCTTTCCTTGAAAAATAATATTATTGTAATTGTAGCTATAAAATATTAAATATACAACAATATAATGTATATTTTTTTGAAAGATCAAAGAATATTTCGGCGAATTATAGAATATATGATATACAACAGAAAGTTTGCCATTCAGGAAATTGTAAAGGAAGTTACGCGAAATGCGATTATGATTGAATGTCGTCCGTTCGACAAAATTTTCAATGCGAAAGTTTTGCCAAGTTCCGCTTAAAACGATTACGTTCTATTTTAGTAGAACGGTCGCAGTTTTGTAACAAAAAAATAATGTTCTTTGTGCAATTATTTTATAAAATGCACGTCGTTTCACTTAACGCATTTAGGATTGAAAATCTGTGTACAGTCCAGTTTAAAATCCTTAATTTAATAGAAATGTTATAGAAAAATATACAATTCTAACAAATATTTAATTTCATTTTTTGTTAAGAGTTTGTGTAAAATAAATTTAAAGTTAACATTTTGTTATTAAACTTTATTGAAAATATGATCTTATGTAAAAATACGCTTGTTGGTGATATTTTTTGAGAAAATAAAGAATACAATTAACTTAGATTTATATTAGGAGTTGTTGCTAAATATATTGAATGAAATTGGAGCAGATGAAGGAAGTGCTATTATTTATTGCAAATGTTACGCAAAATACGATTAAGTCCGAAAATCTGTTTGGTGTCCTTTCGTAAGAACGTTGAATTAAATGCAATATCGTTTCTGGAGTCATTTTGTGAAGGAATAAAGAAAGAATGATCAATACAATTTAGAAATTTTGTGTGCAAATGTTACGCAAAATAAGATTAAGAAAATCTTTTTAGCGTAAATGAATGAAATGGAGCAGACTTTCTTTATTTCTGGTGACACTTTTTGTAAAGGGAGTTACGGAAAACACGATTACGATCGAAAATCTGTTTGTGGTCCGTCCTGAAATCCATAAAAACTGGTGACTTTGTGAGTTACAGTCTAATGACAATAGGAAGTTACGCAAAACGCGATTAGAATCGTGAATCTATTTGTCGTCCAGTTCAGAGTATTGATGGTGCGAAACCCCATTGTCCATCGGCATGACGAATGATATCGATCGTACGAAAAAGGAGGAGAAGACACGTGAAGGTAAGGCCCTTCCGATAGAGATTGTTTTTTTTCTCTCCTCATCATCTATTTTCCTTTATACGGTGCGAATCGTCCCTTTCTCCGTCCCCTTTCGCCCTTCGGTGCCGACGGGGGTCCGTTAATCAAGATTATCTCTTCGAACCAAACAATGATGTATCCCTTGTCTTTAGCGGTCTAGTGTGGGTTTAGTTTACACCGGAGAAGCAGGTAGTTTTATTCTTATTATTATTTCTTCTCTACTTTTTTTTTAGTTACGTGCACGTGAATCGCCTCAGGCAACACGAAATGACCCTTAGATGAATATATAAGATCTCCTCGAGTTAGTTGCGTTGTTGTTTTTTTTTCTCTTCCTTTCATCCTCTCGAGTCACCACAATCTCTCTCTTCTCCCATCTCCCGCTTCTTGTTTAGTTTGGTGATTTTCGGCCCCTAAATGGGGGTAAATAATGACCGTGCGAAGATGATGGAATTAATGGGACACTTAAATTATTTTGGCCCATTTTGTCACCACCCCTTAAGCATCATCAAGTGCGACAGGAAGCAGCGCACTTTATTCAAAACAGACGCGACGTTCCTCTTGATATATTTTTTTTTTTGTCCACTTTAAGTGCACATTTTGTCACCCAATTATGAGCACTTTTCCTCCACTAATATTCGTGGCGCCCACGTTTCCTCTCCGGACGAACCCCGGGAGGTCCACGTCTGAGGGTTAATTGTCTCCTTTTTTTCCCTCACATAATCACAATCAACCCCCCGTTGGATGTTCCTAGCCATAAATTTGTTTATGTGGAATTTGAATAAATTTCCAACTGTGATATGTGGAAAAATCAGGGGGTTCCCCCTTGTAACGCAAGGAAAGGAGCTCAGTTTACGTGCGAGGCATTTTGATACAACCCCTCGAGGTTATAAATTAGATACCTGTTTGCGGAGGGTAGATAATAGTACCTGTCCGTTTACAATCCTCATTGTTCCCTAATTTTTATTAAACTACCTGTCGGCCCGTACCGGAGAAGCGAAAACTGTAAAAATTACATTTCTCTTCTTTCCCTTCTTTTTTTTTTGTTGTTGTTGTTTCCTCCTTCCTATTCATTGCACACAGGTGTTCACGCTTTGCATAAAGCACGACCCTCCATAAACGACTTTAATTACTTTCGAACCATAACATTGTACACTCTCATCCCATGACCGACACTTTTATAGGTCATTTTTTTTTTAGAGACACACATAATCATTATAGTTCTACAATTAAACTTGAAACGAGATTCAATAATGTCCTTTTAAGAAAACATTTTTCAATGCGTAGGAAAGGCAATAAAATGAAATTTCATTACAGCATAAACAGTTACTAAACCAGAATTTCAATAAAAAAAAATGTTTTAGTATTTTTTTTTCAATATATTTTTTTTTTATTTAATTTAGATTTTCAAAATAATGATTTTTAATTTAAATAATTTAATAACATTTTTTGTGTTTTAAGCCAAAAAAGATATACGAAAATGATAAAAACTACATTATTAGATATTATTATATAACTCGAACAAAATGTACGCATAATAAAACTTATGATAACTTTGGGTTAAATGTTAAGAGGATAATAGAAGTAGTAAACCTAGAATTTGTTATCTTTACTTTAACGTAAAACTACGAATTAGATAAATGTAAATAAACATAAACGTTGATAAAATACTTATCTCAAAGATAAATATACGAATTTTTACGTGACGCATGACAGCTACGTAATAATATGTCAACATTAATTGTTTTAAATTGATTATCTCAATAGAGTTACAGATTTATGATTATTTTGTAAAATTGAAATTTTTTGATAAATTTAATAGGAAAAAAGTAGCTAAAATATATGAAAATTCTTGTAAATAATGATATTATTTTATATTAAATAATAACAACATTTATTGCAACAATAAGTTACAATATTAAAAAAAAAACTCAATGCAATAATAAAAATAAAATAAAATTTAAGTGATGCAAAATTATCTTCTTTTCATGTATTTATAATGTAAAAAAAAATGATTAAATCTTTATTTTATAGAAGTTTTACAATATTCATTCATTAATAAAGTTTTTCAAAATGCCATTACAAAATATTTTATTTTCACTATCCTTGATATTTTGATTCTGCCATGAATGAAACTGTTTTCTCAATGATTTGCCAACATCGAATATAATTAAAAAAGTACGGTATTTAAAAAAAATATATATATATATATATTTATATTTTCTTTGAATTTAAATAATTTAATTCAGACTCAAGGCATTCTTTTTACATTCACAAAATTTTATAACACTATTCAAAAATTAACTTTTTTTGTTATTGTCGTCATTGATTTCTTAACGAATCGTGTGATTTTTTTTATGAATGATTATTTTTATAATGTTGTTGAACTTTAAATTAAAATTACTTTTTTTCTTATACAAAAAAAAGTGTTACGAAATAATTAAAGATTTGTTAAAAGTTTGACGTGACGTCAATTAAAAAAAGTAATGAAATGTTAACTTTCAACTTAAGG